AAATACCACGATTGAAAATAATGGACAATGACACTCCATACAACCTTACCATTTCACGAATATAAATCTTCACATATATGACGAAATACCAAGATTTTAAATTGACGGAAAAATCTTCTCTTATCGCAATAATATCCATTATTTCTTTCCAAATCCCGATGGATCGTCAGAATTTGGCCATAAATCCGGACAAACTTTAAACTAATGCAAACTTTTGCCTTGTCACTACTCCTGATGAATCACAAAAAATTGTTCTCAATTTATGACGGATTATCAAAATTATAATCACAACTCTGACAAATTGCCAGAATTAATCACAAAACTTTGACTGGTCACCACAACTTGTGTAAAATTTTTTACCAATATACTCTTATTCAGAATTGGTCCAAATCAACTCCAAATGACTCCAATTTCGATATACAATCTTCTATTACCAATTTGATAATTTCAAACATCTAGATTCACCTTAAAGCTTCAAAAATCGATAAACCTATTTTGTTTTCTTAAGAAAAATTCAAACTCAACAAAACATAAATATTTTCCCCAATCAAAGCTAATTTCTCTTTTATGAACTGTGGATGGGAGTTTATAATTTTAGATAAAACTGGAAGAAGATAAATAAATAATTATGTGAGAAGCGAAACTCTTTTTTCATCCCCAACAAATAAATAGGTTTAAAAAGCTATATCTAATGCCTTTGTTTTGCCCTTTTCCCTAAGGGTGGCAACGGAACCGGGAGGTCCCGGTACCGGTTCCGATCCGTTACCGGTTCCGTCTCGATTCCGGATAGTACCGGTTCGATCAAGTATTGTGCCGGTCCGGGAGGGGTAACGGGACGGAAACCGGGATTTACCGGTTCGTCCCCGTCCGGTTAGTCCCGGTTCCGGTCCGGTTCGGAACAATTTTTTATTTTTTTTTAATCTGAAATTTCAAAATTTATAGCCGTTGAGAGCCGTTGGGCAACGGGTTTTGGGCCCCACCAACGGCTCTTTCACCCCCATAACCCCATTTTACACCTCCCTACCCCCCAAACTTTTTTGAATACCCCAACCTTCTTAAAACTACATTTTCATCCTTTTTTTTTAACTATAAATACCCCTAATCTTTCATTCTTTTCACTCACAAAAATATCTTCTAATCTCTCTACTCTCTACTCTCTAAATTCTCTTATTCTCGTTAAAATTACGAATTTGATCTTTGGAAATTGGAGCTTCAAAATTCAACTTTCAATTTTCGGCTTCCGGTCATACACGTCTAATTTTTTAAGTAGACGTTTGGTACATTCGTTCCAACTCACTTTTCATTTAGTTATTTATTTGTTTGCATTTAATTATTTATTTTGTGAGTAATTAATCTCTAGTCTCTACTTATTTAGTTATTTGTTTGTTTAAAACTTTGCTAATCATTTTCGTATTATATATAATTTGCTCACTTTTTATATTTGAATATGGATTTTGGAAAAAACATTATTGAAAAGGGTAAAACAACCATAGTTAATTCGTTCACTAATATCTAGCTCAAAATCCAAGAAAAATAAAAAAACCAGTAGTACTTCTCAATCTAAAACTAAAAAAACTTCTCAATTAAGAATAAATACGGATGATTATATGCATATTGATGAAACTGTTTTTAATATTGATAGTAATAGTGGATTAGATCCTTATCATGAACATTTACAAAAAAAATTTGGTAATTTTGAAGAGGAATTACATGAAGATGATGAACATGATGATGTTAATGCTTATGTTGATAGTTTTGATAATAATGTTGATGAATATGATGATGATGAAACTGAGCCACCATCGGCTACTAGTCCCACTCCCAATCCCTTTTCCCCAGCTCCCGCTCCCTTTCGTTGTCCTGCTCCTGTTACCCCCGTGCATCCTAGGACTAAGGTAGAACGCGCTAAAAAATCAGTTGTGTGGCAATTTATGACTCAGAATGAAGATAAAACACAAGCTATTTGTAATAAATGTAAAAATAGAATGAATCATAAAACTGTAGGAAAACAGGGTGGGACGGGACATTTGAGTAATCATTTAATGTCATGTTGTAAAAATGAATTTTTGCATGCTAAAGTTGTAGCCGAAGCTAAAAAAAATGGTACCACCCTTCCTGAAAATGTAGGAGTAGAGGGCTCTAATATGGTCCAAACACAATTAAATCCTTCTAATGTTTCTGGTTCTAGTATACAACGGTCATATAGTAGAGAAAAAGATCTTGAAGAATTAGCTAAAATGATTGTTGTTATGGGTTTGCCATTTAGTTTTGCTGAAAATCCCGGTTTTATTCATTATATTCAAATTGTGTATAATCCACATTTTAAAGGTTTTACTAGAAATACAATTAAAAAGGTTATCTTTGATTATCAAGCTCAACATTTTCAATATCTTCGTTGTTTATTTTATTATAACAATTGTAAAATAGCTATTACTTCTGATATGGGTCGTAGTGTAAATGGTAATGATTATTTCACTATTACTGCGCATTGGATTGATGAAAATTGGACTTTGCAAAAAAGAATTTTAGGTTATAAATGTTGTGAAATGCATAAAACCGGTAGTTATATAGCTCAAACAATTATAGATGTTTTGCAAAACTATGGAATTTGTGATAAAATAAGTAGTGTCACATTAGATAATGCTTCTAATAATAGAACTGCTGTTGAAATACTAAAACCGTCTCTTTGCCCTATTTATATTGATGGTTTTCATATTAGATGTGCTGCACACATATATAATTTGATTGTTAGAGATGGTATAGCAATGTATGATGATGGTTGCACAAAAGTTGAAACTGCATGTCATTTTATTTTTAAATGTCAAGTTAAGTCTAGACGTAGAGATTTTGAAAATCGTTGTCGTGAATTTAATCTTCCACCTAGAAAAATTCCAAAATCAGTGTGTACTAGATGGAATTCTTTATTTGAAATGCTTGAAGTTGCATATGAATATAGAAAACCTTTACAAATGGTTTGGAATGCTCATAATTCAAATATGACATATAGACTTGATGATAATGATTGGAATGACATAAAAGAACTTATAGAATTCTTAAAAGTTTTTTATCTAACTACAAAAAAAATATCTGCACTTTATTATCCAACTATTTGCTCTGTTTTACCTAATATTTGTGTTATTTCTAGTAAATTTTATAAATTCAAAAATAAACCAAGACTTGAAGAATCTGTTAAGAAAATGATTGAAAAATTTTAAAAATATTTTATTCCTATTCCTCAAATTTATTTAACTGTTTGTTTGTTAAACCCACATTACAAAGATGAAGGTGCATCACGATTGGCTGATAAAATATATTTTAATTTGGGTATTGATAGTGAAGATGATGAAACACCTAGTTGTCAAGATGTTAAAGATAATATAAAAATTGAAGCTAGAAAATTGTACGACTTGTATAATTCTAATATAAGGAATGTAGTACATAACGAAGAGCCTCAAAGTTCTAGGAGTAGATATAATAATGAAGATGATATTGATGATATGATAGATTGTATTATTGAACTTTCTCATAATGATAGAAATGATTTTGATACATATATTAATCAAAATACAGAACCTACTACTATTGATCTTCTAGAATGGTGGAGCAATTGCGGCCAAGGATTTCCAAAACTTCAACCGGTTGCTCGAGATGTGTTAGCTATTCAAGCATCTTCAGTAGCTTCGGAAGGCGCTTTTAGTGCAGCAAGATTTCAAATTGGAGAGCATAGATATTCATTAGCAGCATATAGCTTGGAGATATCCGTACTATTTAGAGAATGGATTAATGGCGAGAGAAGGAGTTATGGTCGTCCACCTTTACCGACCAAATTTGAAAATGACGTTGATGAAATAATGCAAGATTTTAGTGATGACGGCATTGATGCAATGGAAGAACTAGCTAATCAACCAATTCCAGAGCATGTTACTAGAGAAATGTTAAATAATTTAAAAAAAGATTTCCTTGGTAGCATGAACTATTAAATTTAAATGTCTATTAGTATGAGTATAATAATTCGAGGTCTAATTCAAACAGAACCCTTCCTAGAAGGTGGCTGCATAGATTAGATTTTTTAATACTCTACTAATATTTTGTAACTCAACTTGTACTATTTAATTAATATTACTAAAAGTATAGGCTATTCGCCTTAATTTTTTTTTTTATTATTGTCTTCAAAAGTTCAAATTTAACTTTTAAAGTGTGAAATTTAAACTTTTATAGTTTTAAAGTTTTAAATTTTCAAACTTTTAAAAGTGTGAAATTTAAACTTTTATAGTTTTAAAGTTTTAATTTAAATTTTCAAACTTTTAAAATTTAAAGTGTGAAATTTAAACTTTTATAGTTTTATAGTTTTAAAGTGTGAAATTTAAACTAGTTTTATAGTTTTAAAGTTTGAATTTAAATTTTTAAACTTTTAAAATTTAAAGTGTGAAATTTAAACTTTTATAGTTTTATAGTTTTAAAGTTTGAAATTTAAATTTAAATTTTCAAACTTTTAAAGTGTGAAATTTAAACTTTTTATAGTTTTAAAGTTTGAACTTTGAATTTAAATTTTAAAACTTTTAAAGGGTGAAATTTAAACTTTTAATAGTTTTAAAGTTTGAATTTAAATTTTCAAACTTTTATAGTTTTATAGTTTTAAAGTTTGAATTTAAATTTTCAAAGTTTTAAATTGTGAAATTTAAACTTTTATACTTTTAAAAGTTTGAAAGTTTGTATTTAAAACTTTAAAAGTATAAATTTTTAAGTGTAATGTTCCTAATTTTTTAATTTTAATAAAAAAATTATAATTTATAACAGTTGGGACCCCGGTTTCCGGTTTCCGGTCCGGTCCGGTACCGGTCCGGGACGGGTACACTGATTTTTTTCCGGAATTATCGGTTCCTGTCCGTCCCGGTCCGGTAGTCCTGGTTCTAGTTCCGGTTCCGTTGCCAGCCATACTTTTCCCCCACTAATTTTCCTCTCCAAAGAAAACACAGCTCATAGAGTAGCGAGAACCTCCTCTTGAGTTTTCATCTCAGGTAGCAGTTGAAGATTTTTTTTCCATATATTCTAGCTTAGTAAATGTAGTATGAGACTCTTCAGTTGCATTTATACCTTTTTTCCGTTTTGGGTATGTAAATTTTTTGTTAAATTTAAAAAATATGGAGAATGTACTCAAATAACTAATTGCCACAGTTAGAACAGCTGTTGAATTTGACAGATCCAAAATTTTAAGTCAGTTGAAGGAGAGGTCACTGCACCCACTGCTACTGTTGTGGCAGTGAGTGCGAACTTCGTGTTTAGTTATGAGTATTTTAAGCATTGTCCTCTTTCAGCTGTAAAAAAGTTATATAGTTCCAGCCAGTGGCTGTTGGTTTCATTTTAAATATTCAGTTTCAGATCTTGGTTAAATCAATAAATAGAACTGAGATTATAGTTGAAATAGCTAATAGAAAACCAAATTAACTTGTTATAGTAAGCTTGAAAGAGCTAAATCAAAATGAAATGTGTTCTCTTTATACATATCTGGAGAGCTAGTGGTGAACGGTTCAAAACTCGGTAGATAATGGTGTCACCCTTCTACCCTTCTCCTATTAAATATGAGTTCTTTTTTTCTGTGGCAGGGGTTTGAACTCATGACTTGCGCCTAATCCACACATCATCTGCTGCCCCCTTCCCACTAGACTATAGTCGTCGAGGGTACACTATGTTTGGAATGCACTTAAGTAAGTTTCCATTTGCAACATAGGAGGATATGCCAAAAATCTTAAATTCAGTAAAAGATCCTCACCCATGTTAATGGAGGAATGTGTTAGTCTTTGGTTTATCAAATATGACACTAGTAAATGCTTAGTTAAGTGGTAATCAGTTGTTCTGTAGTTGGAGGATGTTTCTCCTCTTTTGGTGGATGTCTTTCCTTCTTAGAATCAAATAGATATTTATTGATTACATTGTTATTTCCTCATACATATAATTCAAGTGGCCTTGAATCTTTTGAAACTAAGAAGGGTAAACATGAGAAGAAGATATCTAGCTATAGTTTGTATTCATTTGCTTATTTATTTTATTTTTAAATAAAAGGATCGAGCACTTTATGCTTTCTACCTCCAAGTCGTCACTGAAGCTTAGCATAGAGGCAAGACAGCTGCATGTCCACCCTCTAACTCTTGAAGTACAGCGTTTACTAAAAATACAACTTATTTGTGTTGTATAATGCATATTCTATTTAATTCTTTCAGAGGACATCTTACATCAGAGTTTCTTCTTTGCCTCATTTCGCTCCTAACATTTCTTAGTCTTGTTAATACTTGGTTGGCGTACTTTTAATATCAATCTGTAATGTTTAAAACTTTTGCGATTATATTCTTATTAACTTGCAATTAATGTGGAACATGTTTCAGTCATTGCAACTTTGTGAAAAAAATGTCAAGAAGGCCAAATACCTCTCGCCGTCTTGCAGATGCTGGGAGCATTCCGTTTATCGGCGCCTTTCACCCGAAATCACGTCCATCTCCTTTATTGTCTATAGGACTTGTGGTTGTGGTAAAGGACAATTTCTTTTTCTTATTACCTGCCATCTGTTGACGTGCCCCAATTATTATTAACAATGTTTTGACACTTTTCATGAGAAGTGCTTGTACATGAAGACATTGTAAAGAGATATATTTCTGGAAAAAAAGTCAAAACAAAGAAAAACATTTGCATAGATATGAATATAGAACTGCTTGAATTGAAAAGATAATTCTAAGATACGATTTATTCATGGGAAGCTTTTATTCATAGGCCGCAATGTTTAAGTTTAAGCGTGCATTGTGGATACAAGATTGTATGTTAATGAAGGGATCTTTTCAAGTGTCAAAAGGCCATAATTTTCTTGCTACTAAATCATGCTCACAGTAATGGAGGGTTGAGCTCCTTGTACTATCCTTTGTTGTACCATCAACCCAATGATGACTGTGGAATTGTGGGATTAAGATGCCATTTTAACCATAAAACAAAATCATGTAGAGCTATCAGGCTTATGTTTGATACACAAGAGGGCTTTATTTTGGTGATAATAACAAAAAGGGGCTTATTGTTGTTACATAATCTGTGCGGAGCTTAGAAGCTATTCACTTTTGGTATCTGATCAATTCATCCCACAATAACAGAAGCTTCAGCTGATAGGGTGAGAGAAGCTACCAAAAATGAGGGCTTGACTTGCCTGTTTTTACATAATGCAAGATCATGAAGAAACACAAACATCATTTCAACGTTATTTTGATAATTCAAATATCAAAATTTGTCATTTCCCCTTCCTGTATCACATTGCTCATCAGTTTATGCCTTTATGGTAGGGTGTGATGTATTTGAATTAATACATATCTTATTCTGCATATAAATGTCTTCTCTTCCACACTTACTGATATATCTACCATTCCATTGGTGGGCACGTTTTGCATAACCGCCTCTGCTTTTAAGGGACTACTCTTTCTGGAAGTTTGAGAAAGTGTTGCCAAATCAAATTATCTGTTCATGATCTTATTACTGAATCTTAAATGATCCCAATGCAATAGTACCTGTTGATCTGATCTTTTATCATGACATTTCAGGGAGCATTGTTGATTATTGGTTATTTGTATCACGGTTCAGGTGAATTTTGTCTTATAGTTTGGGTATTTCTCCCTATGGGATCATGTGTAGCAATTGTTTCTTCTTTTATTTTATCTTCTATAACATAATCTGTACAAAGAAGATTTCCTACTATCATCATTTTCATAGATTGATTGCAGGCTTGGTATCTTTTTTCTGTGCCTTCTGATGTACTTTCTCTTTGTATAGGTGGAGCTGTTGATGCTTTCAGTAGACTTGAAGGTAACCAGCTACAACTGAATCAATCTTGCATTGCTACTCAACATGAAGATGTATTACCTATTTACTTGAACATTTTTTAATCTTCCAAGGGAGGTGAAGTCAAAGGCTATAATTAGAATATTATCAAGATTTTGCTACTTAAGTCCGTTAGACGTACCTTTCCAGTGAGATAAATAGTATCTCACATATTTTTCTCTTAAATTTTTAAAATCTTTTTCTGCAAAAGAAATTCGGGGTGTGGTGCCCATGAAAACACTAGATTACTCATTTATATACATTGTACTTACTGGAAAGACTAAAGATCTGTCAAATGTCAATCTTGTTCACCCTGGAAGAATCCTCGGAGTAATATTATTGTTAGCTTTTCTGTTCCTCATTTTTCCTATGAACTGTCTTTGCATACTTGCAAAGGAATAATCTCTGCTCTTGGTTATTCACCAGTAATCTTATTTAGAATTTGACTTTCTCACTTTCTTTATCTTTATAAATAAAACTTTTTAGGTGGTTTTTCATGCACATCAGAACTTCAAAGAGCATTACCTATATTACAGAAAGTCTATGGTGACAGCATGCGAAAAGTATTGCATGTAGGGCCTGACGCTTGTTCAGTGGTGTCTACACTGTTAAAAGAGGAGGGTACTGAAGCATGGGGTGTTGAACCCTACGAGTTAGATGAAACTGATGAAACTTGCAAGAGTCTTGTTTACAAGGGAATAGTGCGAGTAGCTGATATCAAGTTTCCTCTTCCCTATCGTTCAAACTCATTCTCTCTTGTCATAGTGTCGGATGCAGTGGATTACTTGTCTCCAAAATATCTCAACAAGACTTCCAGAATTGGCGAGGGTGGCAGCTGATGGTTTGATTGTTTTATCTGGTAAATTCAAGAACAGTCTTGGCTTCTTCCACCCCCTCCCCCCCCTTAAATAGTTCAGCTAATATAAAATTCACATATAAACTCTGAGTGGGTCATTTAAATGTGAGGTAGGGTAAGCTTCATGTTTTTTTGTTGTTAGAGGACATTTCTTTTCGAGTGATATTTAAGCGTAAGATAGCTATTTTACATTTTGCTAAAATATTGGTTGCATTTTTAGGTTATCCAGGTCAGCAAAGGGCTAAAGTGGCAGAACTTTCGAAATTTGGCCGCCCAGTAAGTCACTGATCTTTGCTTTGTAGCTAAATTTCTAAAGATGGTATGTTTATTTATTTGTTTAAAATTGGAAAACATAGATCATCTTTATTAAGATAGAGCTGTCCGTCTTATTGCATATGCGCCGTGTAAACCAAATTCCTACAATTGTTTTTGTGCTATAGATTTTTATGTTGAGTTTGCAAATAGTGTATATCTTTTGTATATTTGGCTATTGAATGTAATTATTTTTAGCTGACCAGCCAAATGTGTAACTTACTGTTAAAAAAATCAAAGCATTCAACCCATTTTAATTTGGTGGAGCGGGGTGGGGGTGAGAGAAGGGTTTGATCGATACTTTTTATCTTTTTTTTATCCATTTTGCCAGTACTAACAGGTCTAGTAATTTGTGCCAATTTCTTTTGGCAATGCTGGTGAAAACCCATTGTTTGTGGATTCAGTAAAATAAAGATTGATGCACATAATTCCATTATACGTAAGCTTTGGCTTTTGATCACCTATACTTCTGATCTATTAGGAAAAAGAAGCAGCACAGAGAATAAGGTGCTCCCCTTGCTTGTTTGCTATTTGATTCTTCCTAGTCACTTATTGCATAATTTGGGCCATCTGTTTAAAGGTGTTCTCTGTTTTGGAAGATTGAAACTTGCTTATCTTCTCTGTTTATGCCAAATTGCGAAGTTCGTCCTGGTGGATTGGATTTTTTGCTCAATCCAGCTTAGAAGAGAATGAAGTTGCAATCAAGAAGTTTGAGCAAGTGGCAAGCAAGAGGTTTTATCAGCCAGCTTGCCAAATTTTCCACCTCAAACCACTCCATTGAGAAATCCTTAGCTTGTTCCAAACAGATATAAAAGCATCTGCAGCTGTGTTAAATTATCATTTGCCAATTGCCACGACAATCCGGCGTACCAATTGTGAAGTATCAACCTGAATCAAAAAAGAATTGTGTAATGTCAACCTGGATGGTTGAATTAACAATTTTGTTGGAGGAATTTGGTTCTGTAAGATGGTCTCCAGAATATATATGCATCCCACAATAGGAGCTTTCAATCAATTAGTATTGCTTGTGGTTGCAGCACACAACTTTTTTTTGTCTTACAATTGATGGTTGAGTATTGTGTAAACACGAAACACAATAATTTATTATTCATTTATTTATTTTTGGGAAAAAGGACAAATATACCCCCGAGTTATCAAAAATGGTATACAAATACCCTTCGTTATACTATTGAGACACTAGAACCCCTGCCGTCCAAAAAGTGGAACATTTATACCCTTCACTCTAACAGAAGGACACGTGTCGTCATCCTATGCATCTACCCTTATTATTCACCATATTTTAAACCCACAAAAATAATCCACCCGAATTAAAAAAAAAAAACCACCCAAATAGTAGAGCAAAATTAAAGTGATATTTGGGTCCAAATTTCACACTGTAAAAGCACAGCCATTGAGCCACCACTGCGACCGCCACCACGACGGCCATAGTCATCGTCATCCTCATTAGAATCATCGCAGCTTCCATACACATCATCAAAGTTCTTCGATTTCCGATAACAACTATGCAAGTATGGGATGAGTGGTCCATCGGAGCTGAAAGTGATGAGCGTATGAGGTGAGAAAGTTGTGTGAAGTTTTCTGGAAAGATGAGTATTGTTGGGCTGGTGCACCAGAAAACTATTCCATAAGAATAGTCGTTATGTGTTGGCGGTACGTTTGTTACACTCATTGGGCGAGTGAGATTTTTTTCGGACATATTTCGATAAAATCATCTTCATCGGCAGCGGCGGGGCGGAGGAGATGGCGGTGAATGAGATTTTTGAGTGAAGTTTTATTGATTAAGCTTTGAAGCCTAGATAGAACAGCCATGGTTGCTAAAATTGTTTAGCTCTCTTAAACCTTAGCTTCTCCCCATCCTCTAATTCGTCCTCAACTTCTTGCTCAATCACGTCATCTTCTTCTTCTCCACTCAAATCCGAGGTTCTATCCCACTCCATCACGAGATTCGCCCCTGTATATCTTCTTCTCCTTCACCCATCTTCATGTTTGAACTTGAATTCAAAATCAAATGCTTACCCTTCCTTTCAAAACCAATTTTGGGTTGATTGTGTTTTTAGGTTTTTTTTGAGGAAATAAAATGAGTAGTCGGCAAAATTGCGTGAGATTTTTGAAGAATAAAACAGAGGATCAAGGCGTGTATTTTGGTTGGTTTGGGTATATTATTAGGTGTTAGTAATGGGTGGGTTAGGGATTATTTGGGTGGATCTTTTTAATTCGGGTCATGGGTTTAGAATTTAGTGAATAATAAGGGTAGATGCATAGGATGACGACACGTGTCCTTCCGTTAGAGTGAAGGGCATAAATGTTCACGAAGAGTATTTGTATACCATTTTTTATAGTTCGAGGGTATATTTGTCCTTTTTCCCTTTATTTTTTTCCCACATAAGTGGATCTTTGTTTATCCAAACTTTGTCAAATACATCCTTGAAAGCAGATGTGAAATAGTTAGGTTAAGCAAGTGACCTTCCAAAAATCGTCTAAAGTTGGAGAAGACCATAGAAACTTAGAAAATAACAACCATCAGGGTGGTTGGTCAAATAGCAGAAATAAAGGAAATGTCTTACAAGAGAAACCATGAAAAGGAAATAGAAAGCAAAAAGCAGCAGGTCTTGGCAAACAGGCCAAGAAACTGGAAATAGAACAAAATGAACCCCATTTTAAAATTGATTTCCATTTTAGCCCACACTAAGTCATTTGTAAAATTTACTTTAAGTTGAATTTAAGTTTGAATTGCATTATCTTTGTTCAGCATTATCTACTGGAACAGGTCCCTCATCAGGTTCATAATCTGCATCAACTTCTTTGAGATTGCTGAATTCGTGAAGTGGATATTCTTTAGCAGGCTCACTATTTAGACCATCTCTCTGAATTTGAAGCAGCTCTTCCATCTCAGAATCTTCTTTGTTTTGCAACTTACTTCTCAATTCTTACAGACTCATCAAAAATCACATAACATCTTCAATGCACACATTTTCATACACCAGATAAGCCTCGTTGGAGGAAGAATATCCCACAAGTAATCTTTCATCATTATTGGGATCAAACTTCCCAATATCATCCTTTTGGTCACAGAACATGTAGTATTCACCACTTCAGCCCGAAAGTTCTTTGGAAGATTAAAATCCTGCTTATTCCGCTTGATGGATGGTCTGATCTACTTCTCTTTAACACAAGCATCACAAACTTTGTCATAAATTTTATTTTGGGCCGACCGTGGACCAGGTCCCTTGACACAAGTTTGTTCAGAGAGAAGAGCTCAACTTTCATGTATCATAGATCAGTATTCTTACCTTGAGTATTAAGGGAAGTGAGAATGTTACAACGAGTAGTGTTTAGATCAGCAGTACATATTCTTGCATCTCCTTTCTGTCAACATCATCATCCGAGAAATTAAGTTGTGACCACCCATTTATCTGATAAGAACTAAACTCAATTTCCTTTATCATAAATCCGTGAAACACTTAATTAGATTGTACTTCAACATATTGACATAGTACACAACTTCAAAAGAGTGTTCCATGGACTTTCAAGTCCTGCCTACACCAAAAAATGTACTATTTCTTGTCATTGCCAAAAGAGACACCTCTACCTTGAAGTGCCTTGAGACAGAGGAAGTTTTTAGTTTTCTCAGTCATGTGCTTTGAGCATCTACTATTCATAAACCAACACTGACTGATGCTACCTCCTCTCACTTGCATAGCAAATCACTTGTTAGTCTTGGGTTCCCAATAAGTAAATAACGGAGTGATAAGAAAATATTTTGTCTAGTGAGGCAGACTGGTTTTCTTCAACTTAGGACAATAAGCAAGACCATGTCCATTCTTCTGTTTGTTCCTCTGTTTGGAATAGTTTGAAGAACTTCCTTCATATTTTTTCCAAACAGGACAATCTTTCTTAAGATGTTCATTTCGACCACAATGCACACATAACAAATTATCAACAACAAAAACATTTTTGCACAAAGGATTGTATGGGGAATCGATCTTCTCACAACCCAACCCTCTTCTACTGTTGTTACCCTGACTGATTACATTTGTGAGCATTTTAGAGGAAGTGTCCCATTTGAGGGATTTGTTCACTTCCTCTTTCACACGGACGAGGTCCCTCTCCAACACAAGATTTTTTTTCTAGCCCTAATTCCATCTTCATTTCAGCAATGTGCAACTTATTTTCAAGCTCCAGTTGCAAGCTGTTTTCCTCGTTTTTTCCTTTAGAAACTATAGTAGTCACCATTTTTATCTTTTCCTTCAGTTCTAGATTTTCAGCTTCTAGAACAACCAATTGTTTTTCAATATCATATATTTGGGCAACTAGAGCAATTTTTTCATCTTGAAATATCTCAAGGCTATTGTTCAAGAGATATTTCTTAATGATTAGCTCACTGATCAAATCAATTAACACAACAACTAGCTTCTTCAATTTTCTAATGGAAAAGCTATTCATATTTTGCTTAAAATTAAATAGGGTTACCTCTTCATTATCATCTTCATCATCTGACTTTGTCATGAAAGCAAACATAGAGTCAAGCATTTCTTCGTCATCTTTTACTCCAAGCATGGAAGCACCATCAGCGTGTTCAGAATCATCTGAGCCACTTGAGGTATTTTCTAGACAGCCAGAGTTTTCTTCATCACACAATCAACAGTTTTTGTTCTGCATGACTTGTCATCGACCTGGTCCCTTCTTTTGTTTTTGCCTTTGAGAGTGAGACTGTCCTTTCTTCTATGCATCTCATGAACTTGAAGATGATCAACAACAGTACTTTAGGATCCCCTGCCTCATAGACAATATCAACTTCATCAGTCCAAGATATGAGAAGAATCTCCAATATTTTAGTGACCTGCTTCCACGCAGTGACAAGTTCTTCTAGGAACATGAGCTCATTTGCAATGATGGAGTACGCATTTCATGAATAGATTCACCTTCTTTCATGGTGAAGTTGTCAAACTGAGTAGTGAAGAGATCTAACTTAGATTTCTTAATTTGTTCAGTACCTTCGTACACTATTCTCAAACGATTCTAGATTTCCTTAGTTGATTCACAATATGAAATCAGATCATATTCATACGCTCTGATTCCACACATTAACAACTTCTTAGCTTTGTGATTTTTCTCAACTTTTTATTGTCAAAGTCATTATATTGTTGTCGGATTTTGAGAACAACCTTTGTGACATCCCCATCTCTTACTTTTATAGTTGGCACATAGGGACCCTTACAAATAGCGTCCCACAACTCACAATCCTCAAATATTATATAGTCAAAAATACACGTTTTCCACCACCTATAGTACTGACCATCAAGCAGAGGTGGCTTCGTTGGAGACCGGCCTTCTTTCAAGTTTAGTGAAGCCGTCATTCTTTGCAGGAATCTCTCTCTTGGTGTAAACCAGATAGAGAGCCCAAGCTCTGATACCAATTATTGGAATGTATGCGTGTAACACCCCGAAAATTTTTTGAGCTAAAACTTGAACCATCCTTTGTAGTGAGTAAGTTTTTACCAATGAATTTAATTTTTTCTTAAGTGTTAAGGTCACTAGATGTAGCACCTTGAGTTCCAAAAAAGAGAACTAAAGAGAATTCATTCAAGTCATTCCTAAGTTCTTTTAAGTTTTGGGTCAACTTCAAATGACCATAACTTTCAGTACAGGATGAGTTAGGAGACCCATAAGATATAAAATGAAACATCTTTGAGTCCTATTTTCAAAGCCACCGAGTTTGCTAATTTTCAAGCTCGTATGAGGGAGATATGCCTTTTTGAAGTCAGGATGTCCATTTAAGAAAAGTTACCCGAATATAGGA